GGTGCCTGTGGCCCAAAGGAGTAGGGTGCCAGCCCCATATGCTGGAGGTGGTGGGTTCAAACCCAGCCCCAACCAAAAACTGCAAGAAAAAAAAAAAGGGTGGAGGTTTAGCTGAGCATGGTGGCTCACGCCTGTAATCCTAGCACTCTGGGAGGTGGAGGCAGGTAGATTGACTTGAGTTCACAAGTTTGAGACTAGCCTGAGCCAGAGTGAGATTCCCATCTCTAAAAGTAACCAGGTATTATGGCAGGTGCCTGTAGTCCCAGCTACTTGGGAGGCTGAGACAAGAAAATAAGTTAAACCCAGGAGTTTGAGGTTGCTGTGAGCTGTGACGTGACAGCACTCTACTGAGGGTGACAAAGTGAGACTCTGTTTCAAAAAAAAAAAAAAGAATCAGGTTAGAACCTTTCAGAGTCATATCCAAGTTGTTAGAATCAAGAGATAGGTGGTACTTAGTGTTAGTTGAGGTTCTGCCCAACTTGGGGTCAGTCTGAGTCATACCTGGGTGGTTGGGTTGTTAGCATCTTAAAAGCCCCTAATGACATCCCCCGAACCCAGGCAGTCCTGGCAGCCACCATTATCGTGAACCTGAAGGGCATGCTGATGCAATTCACTGACATATGCTCCCTCTGGAAGGCTAATCGAGCAGATCTGGTGAGAGGCCTGGGAGCCCAGGGCTGGGTTGGGGGCCTTAGCCCCAAGCCCTTCTTGATGCTTTGACCACTGCCCTCTCTTCTCAGCTCATCTGGCTGGCAACCTTTGTGGCCACCATCCTGCTAAACCTGGACCTTGGCCTTATGGTTGCAGTAGTCTTCTCCCTGCTGCTCCTGGTGGTCCGGACACAGCTGTGAGTCAACCACATCAGACCTCCCCATTCCAGGGGGCTCGTCACTGCCTCCCCTTAGCTTTCCCCACATCTTTGGGGACCATGGGTTTCTTCATACTTTTTTTTGAGACAGAGTCTCACTATGTCGCCCTTGGTAGAATGCCGTGGTGTTACAGCTCACAGCAACCTCAAACTCTTGGGTTTAAGCAATTCTCTTGCCTCAGCCTCCCAAGTAGCTGGGACTAGAGGCGCCTGCCACAACACCTGACTATTTTTTGTTGTTGTTGTTGCAGTGTCATTGTTGTTTAGCTGGCCTGGGCTGGGGTCAAACCCACCAGCCTTGATGCATGTGGCTGGCGCTGTAACCACTGTGCTATAGGTGCCAAGCCCCTTCATACCTTTTTGTTGTTCTCCTCTTCTTGCACTTACTCTCTCCACAGGCCCCACTACTCTGTCCTGGGGCAGTTGCCAGGCACAGACATTTATAGAGATGTGGCAGAGTACTCAGAGGTGAGCAGGATGGTGTGGGTGGGGTGTGATGGACAGAATTAGCTTTCGTCAGGCCAGGCATGGTGGCTCACACCTATAATCCCAGCACTTGGGGGGCTGAAGTGGGTAGATTGCTTGAGTTCAGGAGTTTAAGACCAGCCTGAGCAAGAGCAAGACCCTGTCTCTAAAAATAGCCAGGCGTTGTGGTGGGTGCCTGTAGTCCCAGCTACTTGGGAGGCTAAGGCAAGAGAATCACTTGTACCCAAAAGTTTGAGTTGCTGTGAGCTGTGATGCCACAGGACTCTACTGAGGGCAATAAAGCAAGACAACAAAACTAGCTTTTGTCAGTCCTTTCCACACCTGGCCAGGATACTGGGGTCTGAGGCACTTTGGCTTTGATCCTTGGAAGGGAGGAACTGGGGTCTATGACCCCCACTAGGAGTCTGAGGGGCTGCAAAGGGGCAGAGGAAACTGGACAGACAGAGCTAGGCCTTGGAGCCAGAAGCATAGCCTCATCCTGTGAAGCACCCCTGGGTCAGAGGTACTGGAGGGGCAGGGTTCTTGGGGCATTAGAACATTAAGGAAGCTTGCTTTTGATCTGATCAGTGGGGTTATTACTAAGTCCCCAATCATTCATTTACCTTCTGTGAAGTCTTGGGCTAGGTGCTGGGAACATAGATGGGGACTCTGGAATAAAAGAAGCCCATTCCCCCTAACATGAAGCCTTGAAGGCTGAGCACAGTGGGACCAGGCAGAGTGAAGGGAGGAACCAAGGGATTAAGATGTAGGAAAGGATATGAGGGGAGAAGCCCAGCTGGATAGAAAGGGGGTGCCACATTTTGCAGTTCTGAATACCAAAGCGGAGGCCTGAACTGTGTCCTGAAGTAGATGAGAGCTAGAGAAGGTCTGGTTGGGATGACAGGAGGGTCTTTATCTGCACACAGAGAACAGACCTTGGGACAGGGGTTGGAGACCCAAGAGGAAGGCTAAGAGCCTCTGAAACCTGACCTGGGTAGTGGCAGGGGAGGTGGGGAGGGAAAGGTACCGGCTTTGTCCCCTGCTGAGGGCCTGAACTGAGGAAAGGCAGCAGAACAGACAGGATGACACCACCATGGTCCCAGGTATGTGGCCTAAACCTCTAGGAAGGCATGGGCCACAGGTGGAGCAGAGCACTGGGTGTTGGTGGCCCTCAGCACTCCAGGGGAGGAAAGGCAGAAGAACAGATGCAGTGGAGGGAGAGAGGAATATCAGTTACCCCAACTCTGCCCCCTCCCCAGGCCAGAGAGGTCCCGGGTGTGAAGATCTTCCGCTCCTCAACCACCGTGTATTTTGCCAATGCTGAGTTCTACAGTGATACACTAAAACAGAGGGTGAGGCATGGGGTCCCCAGGGTGGGTTGTCAGGCCTTCATCTCCCTGGAGTGCCCACCTCTACCTCCCCTTCCCTGACATTTGCCTCCAGTGTGGTGTGGATGTTGACCACCTCATCTCCCAGAAGAAGCTGCTGCTCAGGAAGCAGGAGCAGCTAAGGTTGAAACAAGTGCGGAAAGAGAAGAAGCTTCAGAAACAGGCAGGGCCACTTTTAACTGGTGACACGTGACTCCTGCCCTGCTCTTGGCCTCTGCCCTCTGCCCTGCTGTCAATCCTAGTCTTTCTCCAGCCTCCTGACTCATTGCTTTATACCTCCCATTTTCTCCCTCTTGCCTCCAGTGACCCTGCTTCTCACCCCTGGTGAGTCAGGGCTGTAGGCAGTGGTTTGTTTTTCCCTCATCTTCTGAACCAGGGACAGTGTGAACCATCAGGGTCCTTGTCCATTTTATGGCTGTTCTTGGAACTGGTCAGAACCCTGCAGCCTTCAGCATGGGTGCTCTTGGTCCCACTGCTTTGGATCCTGGCCTGCCTACTTTCCCAAAGCCAGTGCGTGATACCAGCTCTGGTTGTTGTGGTGGTAAAGGTAGCTGGGATAGTTCCTTCCTGTCCCCACTCTTTCCTGGTCTAGGCTGCCTCCTCCAAGGACACCTCAGTTTCCATTAATGTCAACACCAGCCTCAAAGACATCAAGAGCCACAATTTGGAGGACTCCAAACCCAAGGTGAGGCTGGTGGTGGGAGAGGAGAGGCTAGACGTGAGCTGCAGAGATGCGAGCGCCCATGAAAGTCCCATGAGGAAAACCATTGACCCACTAGCTGTGGGTTCCAGGATATTGTGCTAATGGCAAGAGGAAAAGGATGATAGCTCAGATACTCTGTGGGGAGATCTCTAGTGATACACTATAGAATTCTGCTTGTGGTTCTCTTTTCTAGAATCTCAGGCCTAGATGAAGACCTTCTTTTTTTTTTGAGACAGAGTCTTACATTGTTGCCCCCAGTAGAGTGTCATGGTGTCATAGCCTACAGCAACCTCTGACTCTTGGGCTCAAGTGATTCTCCTGTCTCAGCCTCCCAAGTAGCTGGAACTACAGGCGCCCGCCACAACACCGGGCTATTTTTTGGTTGCAGCTGTCATTATTGTTTGGCAGGCCTGGGGTGTGGATTCGAACCCGCCAGCTCAGGTGTATGTGGCTGGCGCCTTAGCCACTTGAGTCACAGGCGCTGAGCCCCGGCTATTTTTAAGAGATGAGGTCTCTCTCTAGCTCAGTCTCTGGTCTTGAACTCATGAGCTCACGCGATCAGCCCTCCTCAGCCTCCTAAACTGCTGGGATTACAGGTGTGAGCTACTGCGCCCTAGATGAAGACCTTGAATTTGTAGATACCACAAGACCCCACAGCCTTTGTTCAGGTTTAGAGGGAAGGAATGGGTATATGGGGAAAAAATATAGAGTCGGGGGTTGGGTCAAATCCAGGTACAGTAGCATATGTCTATAGTCCCAGCTGCTCAGGAGACCGAGGCAAGAGGATGACTTGAATCCAAGGGTTTGAATCCAATGCCCAGGTGACACAGACAGACATGAAGGCATATTCTCGTCTGCCCTGGGCACCCCACCCACTCCACCCTGGCTAACTGAGTATGCACAGTCCCTGGCACCCTCCCTTTTTGTGTCCCAATTGAGCCTTGGCTAGGGAGGTAACAGCAGTTGTATATGTTTCTGGGTGTGCTCTTTTATGTGTCCCCATGTGTCCTTCCTGTCTTTGCTGATGTACATGATGGCTCCTCCTTGACTGTCCTCATGTCCCATGCATGCCCCATCTGTGTGTGTGTTTATGTACAGGCTCTTACATCTGACCCTGTGTGTCTTTGATATCTGTACACATTCTCTGCCTTCACCCCCTCTTGGGTGGCCCTTGTAACATGTTTGGTTTCAGCAGGTGAGCCCAGGGAATAAATTAGAAGACACAGCATCCAGTGGTCAAGAAGATGCCAAGGCCCCAGACATGTCCACACTGAAGGCCCTAGGCCTGCCTCAGCCAGACTTCCATAGCCTTGTTCTGGACTTGGGTGCCCTCTCCTTTGTGGACACCGTGTGCCTCAAGAGCCTGAGGAATGTAAGGAGTTGGGCCAGGCCAAGGCCCCTCAAGCCTCCACGTTGACCCCATAACTAACCCTGAGAGCCCTCTGCTTTGAGTTCCCTTTTTATACTTCCCCAAACCTGCCTGAGTTCCCTCTGAGTCCCCTCTTGAGTCCTTGAGCCTCCCTTTGAGTCTGACCCCCTTTTCTCTGGCAGATTTTCCATGACTTCCAAGAGATCGAGGTGGAAGTGTACATGGCAGCCTGCCACAGTGCGTGGGGAGGGGGATAGCAGGCGGGATCTGGGAAGAGGGTGGGACTCTTTCGGCCAAGAAAAATGTTTGCCAGGCAGCACAAGGAAAAAGTCTCTAAAACTGGAGGTCAGAAGTATCCTGGGAGACAGGAGTGGCTGGGATTTAGCTGTAGCCTCAGGGGTGCAGGTCAGGGGTGATAGGGTTAGGGCATTCTGCTGGTTCCTGGGGATTGGGTTCCTGGTGGTTCTGAGAGTCAGGGGAGACCTACTCCTTGCCTACAGGCCCTGTGATCACCCAGCTAGAGGCTGGACATTTCTTTGATGCATCCATCACTAAGAAGCATCTGTTTGCCTCTGTCCATGATGCTGTCACTTTTGCCCTCCAACACCCGAAGTCTGGCCCAGACAGCCCTGTTTTGGTGAGAGCTGACCTCTGAGGGTCTAAACTTTTTTTTCTTAATCTGTTGCTTGTTCCCACCCTGGCCCCAACTCCAAGAAGTCTGTCCTGGTGACAGACTGCCCTTGTGAACCCACTGCCTTCTCTTCCTGCTTTTGGGTACAGCTGCTTCTAGGGACAGGGGTTGCTTTCCCAGGGGTGGGGAGCTGGTGTGTGCCCTTTAGAAACTGACTGGAGCTTCCTTTCCTCTGCCCATTCAGGTCACCAAACTCTGACCATGCTGCCACCCTACCTCAGACTGCCTACCTCTTTCTGGAGGCTGTGATGAGGTGCTTTTGACAAGCCCCCCACCCCTGGGCTGCCTCCAGGTGCCACCCAGGAGTCCCCTTCATGCATACATACACATATCTCAGGGATGGAGATCCTGGGACTCCAAGTCAGTGTTCCAGGCCTGGGACAGTTAGGTTGGCACTGCCCAAATGTGGGAAGGGAGCTGATACATGGATGTATTCAACCTCAGGAATAAAGACTTGCCCTCCCAACTCCAGGCTGTGCTGTGGCTTGGTATGGGTTTGGTGGTGAGTGGTCCATAGCTCTGGCTTCTGATCTTTCTTATGCCCCAGTAGGGTCAGAAGCTGAGGAGATTTAAAGAGGTATGAGTTAGGCAGGGAGAGTACAGAAGAGGCGAGTTGGGGGGCATCCCAGGTTCAGGTTCCCCCCAGCCAAACATAGCCCAGCCCAGTGTCATCAGCTGTAAAGCAGCTGGAATTAGAGCTGCTTCTCAGGAATAGTCCATTCTTAGATATACTCCATAAGGGGCAGGGCAGGATGGTGCTACTAGGCAGCCCCTGGAGGGTGCAGAATGAACATCTGAGCAACCAGCTGAGGAAGAGCAGCTGTTCACTATTTAAAAATAAGAATAGACATGATGGATTTACTAGGTAAGTATGCCTGTTCCTATAATTAGATCGCCTGGGCTTTTGCAGGTGCTGTTGGCCAAGAAGCATGTGTTGATTTCTGCTATAAAGTGCCAACATCTGGGTATGTGGCCCAGCAGGCAGTAGGGGCTTTGGACCAGCTGCCATGCTGAGTGATAGCAGGGGAGGGACAATATTAGGGTATTTATGTGCCTATGTGCTCAGTAGTACAGCAGGAATGATAGCATTGGCCTCACGGTTGCTCGTTATTCAATGAACAAATGCCAGGAAATGCTTATAACAGTGCCAGGCTCAGGTTCCTGTTCAAAACACACAAACTTTGCTGTTTATTAGGTACTGGCCAGGTACCAGGTATGTGCTGGGCACTGGCACTGCCCTGAGAGTGCACAGAGGCTGCCCTGTCCTCCAAATCACTGAGGCATCTATGCCCAACTTTGTTTTATCATGACCTGTGTTAGTGCCTGGCACTGCCCTCTCCCCATCCCCAGAAGCTGAGCCAGGAAGTCAGAGTTTTTTGTTTGCTCTGTCTTGCCATATCCCAACACCAGGAATGGAGCTTGCCAGCTGCTCAGTAAATATTGGTTGGATGAAGTTTGTATGCTGGATTGGGAGGCAGACCTCAAACAAGAAAGCATAAGAAAGTATAGGTGGCTTGAAACATGTTGAATAAAGCATGGTCACGTGAGAGAGAGGAAGGGAGACTCAGGAGCAGGTGACACTTGACCTGAAACTCTAGTCATGAGATGGTAACTTTCTAGGAGTACAGAACAGTGCTTTTTGCATAGGGAGGACTGCAGGAGGCAGGAGTGGCATGTTGGGAAGTGAGCAGTTGGGGGAGACTGCCCAGGCTAGCAGGAGCCCGCACAGGCTTTGTTTAGACAGGAGAGTGTGGGCTTTGATCCCACATCTTTGAGTGTTCACCCTGCTGCCATGTGGACCCGGGCTGGCTGTAGGGACTAGTGAACAGACCAGTTGTGCTGCTTGGTCAGCCTGGGGGCACAGCCCCTGGTGGAGAGCAGCAGGCTTTAGGGCTGTGGGGTGTTTGGATTTTAGGAGTTGGATGATGAGTGAAATAGTGGGGGAAGCAGTCCTTCAGGCATGGGCTGGCCAGTCCAACTGGGAGAGTGGAAACCAGGCCCGAGGCCGAGGCCTGCCATTCTCCCCCCAGCCCTAGAGCCCAGCCCCCTGCCCCATTCATTTTCTAGCCAGGCTGGAACTGTTCCTGGGGGAGGGGTGTTTGCCTGTTGCCAGGTGCCCAGGTTCCGGGCACCACTAGCTATAGCCATGCTGCACATGCTGCCCTCACTGGCCTTGCTGCTCCTGCTGGTGACACCTGTACCCAGCCACTCCTGGTCACGGCCCCTCTGGTACCAGGTGGGGCTGGACTTGCAGCCTTGGGGGTGCCAACCAAACAGCATGGAGGGCTGTGGGAGTGGCCTGGGCTGCCCTGGCTATTGGATGGACCTGGGAATAAACCGCATCTACCCTGTGGCTGGGGTCACACTCACTACTACCATGATGATGCTGGCGATCAGCCGCAAGGTGCTACAGCGGCGCCGTGTACAGGCCACCAAAGCTGAGGTAAGTATAACTCCCCTCTCACCTCTACTTATACCTGTGTGCCTGTGCCCTTTACCCAGCCCTTCCCTGTTGGTCTACCTTATTGGCCTATAGGCCTCCTGCCTCCAGTTCACATCCCCTTGTCCCTGTTTCTGTCCACATGTCTCTACCTATCAGTTCCTTCACATCTGTCCCCCTTAAGTGCTCCTTTCTCATTCAGCCTATGTAGGCCCCATGACCACTATAGCCCACAAGAGACCCTCCATGATCTACCATCACCCTGTCTCCTCCCCATCTCCTCCGGGCAGTGCCTTACACCCTCCTCTTCAGCTCCGTTGCTGCCCCTTGTCATGCCTCTGGCCTGTCCCTCCACTCTCCCTCCTGCCTCTTGGTCCTATTCTCAGCACCCACAGGTGACGACTGACCCCTGTGGGCCTTGGAAGCGGCAGGCCCCAATCTCAGACCGTACCCTGCTCCTTGGAGTCCTGCACATGCTGGATGCCCTCCTGGTCCACATTGACAGCCACCTACGGCGTCTAGCCACACAGCAGCAAATCCAAATAAAGGGGACTTCTACCCAGAATGGGTGACATAACACATGCCTCTCTTTGCCTGATGGCCAGCTGGGGTGGGGATGCCCTGAGGCTCTGGGCCAGGTCTCAAGCCTGTGCATGTGTTCTCTCCAGGCTTGTCTGGACCCTGTGTCCCCTTTCCATTCCTATAGCCAGCAGACCTGTTGAGGCCTTGGTGTCCAGGGAGGGTGGGCAGGAAAGGCCCAGGATGGCTCACATACTGACCTTTCCTCCTGAAGGATCCCATCCACAAACACAACTTCTCCTCTGATTAACCAGTACTAGGGAATCCCCAGGGTTGTAGAAGACTTGACCACCAGGATAGACTTGAGGATTCAGAGAGGGTCTCCCAGAGGAATTGACAATCTGGCTGAGTCCTAGGGAGGAGTGGGTATTGGGAAGGGTATTGCAAGTGGAGGTCACATGAGTAGAGGCCACATGCTGAGTTTGGTACTCTGTACACTGCTGAGGTGGGCAGTCCCCAGTCTTACAGGACCTCAAGGGCCAAGTGAGGGTCATAGGCTTCTCCGGTGCACAGGGGGAGCCAAGGAAGTGACCGGTCAACTGAGGTGGGTGGGGGACAATGGTGAGGCTGGAGCCAGACCTGAAGGATCTCTAATGGGAGACTGAGAGCCCTGGGTCCTCATTATGGGATCTCACTCCCTTGCATCATCCATCCTTATCCCCATTTCAGTGAGATTGACAAAGGAGCTATCCCCATGACTTTTAACTTTGCCACCAAAAAGCATCTGGCTCTGGTTTCCTTTTTTCCTTGCTCCTGCAAGGTCCTTCCCAGGGTATCACTGCTCCGAGTTTCCAATAGCAAACACTAGATCCTTGGCTCTTGCTCTGACCATCCAGCTCAGGCCCAGCAGCCCTAACCATCTTTTTTGCTATGGCAGCCTCAGATAAGGTCTGGTGCCTCAGTGGTGCTTGCTTCAAGACCCTCAGATTGCTGTGAGCTAGGACACCCTAGCACTCTACTTAGGGTGACAGATTGAGATTCTGTCTCAAAAACAAAACTGAGTATGGTGGCTCACGCCTATAATTCTAGCACTTTGGGGAAGTTGCAGTGGAAGGATCACTTGAAGCCAGGAGCTTGAGGTTGCAGTGAGCTAGGAAGCTGTGGCACTCTACCCAGGGTGGAGTGAGAGAAAGAAAATAAGAAAAAGAAAAAAGGATCTCAAATCAACAACCTAACTTTACAACTAAGGGAACTAGAAAAAACAAACTAAACCCAACACTAGCAGAAGGAAGGAAATAATAAAGATTAGAGCAAAAATTAATGGAATAGAGACTAGTAAACAATAGAGAAAATCAACAAAACCAAAAGCTGATTGAACAGATCAATAAAATTGACAAACCACTAACAACATTGACTAGAAAAAAGGAAGACAAATTACTAAAGTCAGAAATAAGAGTGAAGATATTACTACTCGTTTTACAAAAATAGGAAGATAATGCTACAAATACAGGGTGTCTCAAAAGTTGCCATACAGGGGAAATTAACAAACTCATATCTTTAATATTTGTATATCAAAACAAGAATTTGTAAATATTTTGTAAAATTCTGTATTGACTATTTTAAAAAGGTACATTTAGCTACAATTTCCCATTTTTCCTATGTGTGTATGGTTACCATTAGGAACCATATAGTTGTATGTCCATAAAATTTGAAGAGAATTTTTTTTTTTTGAGACCAAGTCTCATTCTGTTGCCTCCTGAGTAGAGTGCCCTAGCATCATAGCTCATAGCAACCTCACACTCTTGGGCTCAAGTGAGCCTCTTACCTCAGCCTCCTGAATAGCTGAGATTCCAGGTACCCTCCATAATGCCTGACTATTTTCTATTTTCAGTAGAGATGAGGTCTCACTCTTGCTCGGGCTGATCTTAAAATGAGCTCAAGCAAGCCACCCACCTTACCCCTAAGAGCACTAGGATTACAGGTGTGAG